GGGGCGGGGGCTCGTTGCGGAATTGGAGCCTTTGGGGGTGGAGGTGGGGCTCGTTGCGGGGCGGGTGATTTTTGGGGAGCAGGGGGCGCCCGCTGCGGCGGAGGAGGGACCCGTTGAGGCGGAGGAGGGGCCTTTTGGGGAACAGGTGGAGGCCTTTTAGGCGGAGGAGGCAGAGGGGCTCTGTTTGGGGGAGGCGGGGCCGTGCGTTGTGGCGTTGGTGGAGGAGGGGCCCTTTGAGGTGGAGGAGGAGGTCTTTGGGGCGGAGGTGGAAGAGCTCGTTGGGGGGGCGGAGGAGGCGGGACCCTTTGGGGGGGAGGAGGCGGGGCTCTTTGCGGTGGAGGTGGAGGGGGAGGAGGCGGGGCTCTTTGCGGTGGAGGAGGCGGGGCTCTTTGCAGAGGGGGTGGCGGGGCTCTGATCGGGGGAGGTGGTGGGACCTTGATTGGGGGGGCGGAGGCTGCTGTTTCATTGGGGTTTTGATTGGCGGCTGATTGAAAAACTCCATATCATTGCCATGCATGCAAAAGAGGCATGCAACAATTGCAATGACGGTGACAGTTGCAAACAACCTGGGCGAGTCCATGATATGAGTCAATATAAACATCCTCACGCGATTTCTGGTCCTAGCACAGCTCACATGACGAGCTCTAGGAGCTGGTCCGCTCTGTCATCATGTGGGCTGCTCTGCATCTGATGCTCGTACAGGAGGGTCGTCTTCGTGATAGTTCCTATCGCTACGCTACACCTCTTTGCGATCTCTGATTTACTGAGGGACAATTGAAGCTGCTGAGCGGCCTTCCACAGTACGACACAGACTATGGTGGTCGGCGCCTTCCCTTGGAGGCCCTTCAGAGCCCTCTTGGACCCCAGCAACAGCTTGCGGCTCTCCTGGAGCAGGTTCCTGGCATCTTTGGGGTCTTTCCCAACCATCGCCCGCCGACAGTAGCGGGACAGGATGTCGTCAGCCCTCACGGACCGCCTCTCGATCTGGCCGGTGCCCACCGTCTCGATGAAGGGTGTGGTATGCTTGCAGGCCCGCTTGATATCGCTCATAGGGACGCCGGAGATGATCCCCAGCTCTCGAGCTGTCCTGGTGGCCCCGTGCTGCTGACACGCGTGAAAGATTGCGGCCATAACGGTCCCCCGCCGACTCTTACCGCGCTGGAGCCGCTTGGAGAGGAACAGCCTGTAGTGTGTGACCGCCGTTGCCTCCACTTCCTCAGAGAGGCCTATCGCTTCGATGAGGATCGTGATCCAGCTCAGCTCCTCGGTCACGACCTCTCCGTCTGGAATCCTATTCGAGCTTGCTACCTGCGGGGGCCGCTTGTCGGCTGCCGGCTGGCAGAGGGCTGGGAGGTTTGGGGTGCTGCTCTCAGACCAATCGACAGGGTTGAACCAAGCTGCAGGTTCTCTGTGGTTAGGTGCTTCGATGCCTTCGATCACAGCCTCTTCGCCAGTCGAGTGGAAAAAGTCGACCTCAACGTTGGCAGCTGTGAGCCTGTCACGCTGAACAGCTCCGCAGGAGGAGCATATTATTTCCCCAGCGCGATGGTCTACGACCAGGGCTGCTACGCCACACGCGACGCATAAGATCGAATCCATGATGGACGTTGGAATGAAAATGTATGTAGGACTTCTTGTCCTTAGATATACACTCGAGTCAAACGTGATTGAAACGTTCAAAAATCAACGGTCCTGATGACTCCCTCCCGCATGAGCTCATCGAATCGTGCGGCTATGATCGCGGTATCTTCCACCACGAAACCGTCCTCGGGCTTCTCGAAGGGCCCCTCGCGGCTGTAGAAGAGGTGGACGATGCGGACCATCTCGCCCTCCTCGGGCGCCTGAGAGAGGGCGCTCCTCAGCTCCCTCTCCAGCAGGGCATGGCGCCTCTTCTCGCCCAGCCTGACCTTCTTCCCGTCGATGGAGAAGGAGTCGGGGTTGTAGCGGATGAAATGGACGGGGAGGCCCGTGCGCCCAGGAACGTCTTGATCTTCTCCTCTCGGAGGTTCTTGTTTCTCTGGACGGCCGGGTCGCAGTTGCGGCACAATCCGCCCTTGCGAATCTGATATGAGAGGCCGCAGCGCAAGCACGGGTTCTCCCGATCCGAGACTTGGCCGGGTAGCTTGTGGGTGACGCAATGAGTGCCCGTTTTGCCCGGTGGCCCGAAGCTTGGGCTTAGAATAGGACACCCCTCCCGAGCGCACCTCCGGCCCGAGACGTTCTCAGCGCCGGGTGGCTTGTGCTCGTCGCAGTGGGTGGGCTTGCCCTTCTCCAGGCCGAAAGATGGTCGGTTTGGGCATCCCTCCTCGTCGCACTTGCTGTTGTGGACGTCCAACATGCCGTCCTTCTTGTGCACGGCGCAGTAGAGTGCCCTTCCGCCCTCGGTGCCGAAGGAGGGCTGGCGCGGGCAGCCTCCTGGCTCGATGCACTTCTGACACGATACGTTGACCATCTCCGGTGGCTTGTGGATGCTGCAGTGTGTCTTCTTACCCCCCGCGATGCCAAAACTGGCAAAGAGATCGCACTTGGGATCCTCGCAGCGCTTGCTTGGCACCACGTTAATCATCTTGGGGTCCCTGTGTATCTTGCACCTCATCGGCCGACCTCCGATGAGTCCGTATATAGACCTCCGCCTAGGGCAACCCTTGACATTGCAAAACTTGGTGCCTCTGGCTGGCTTGGTCACCGCTTCCTTGACCTTCTTTGGGGATCTCACTCTGGGGGGCATGGTACTCTACGCTGGGGGCCGGAAATAAGTGCTGCAAATTATACGCGCACCGCGCTACGAGTAAGGCCGTATGACCTTGCCCGGGGCCACCCCAGAGCATTGCGATGTGACGTCGCGGTTGGCCGCAGTGATTGCGCGGTTGAACTCAATCAATGAATAACCTGATTGATTGATAGTTTCTCGGTACTGTGCTCCGTCAGTCGCACGGAATTGTGCCATTGTTGCTGAGTTCAAATTGCCAGGAGATTGGTACGGGAGGAGCCCAAACGAACGACCATCCGCCATCGAACCCGGTCGCGTCATTGCTACTATAAGCAAAGGTTTTTTTAAACAAGAGCGAGGGATTCCACGTTGAAAAAAAAGTATAGCTTAATCATGAATCATGCAAAAGTGCTCTGCTGAGACGAGGAAGTCCAAAAAGTGCCGTAACAGGGTCAAACACGATGCGCATTGGTGTTGGAGGCACATGCCTGAGAGCCTTTTCGTCTCGCATGACGACCTCACCGAGCACGACGAGGACCGATGTCCGATCTGTCTGTTCAGAATGGCCCTCGATAGCCTGCGACTCAAATGCTCGCACTGTTTCTGCAGGGCATGCATCATGCTCTGGTTGAAACGCAAGCGAGAGTGCCCCGTCTGCCGAAAAGTCCCAGGCATCGAGCTCAGTCTCGAGGATACGGCACCGGACGATGGTCGGGTATACAACGCGGACGGGAGTCTCGTTGATTGGACGACACAAGATGTCCTGCAAGAGTTGGTGGAATCGTTTAGGGCCGCACCACACATCCAGTGGGACGATGGGGACGAGGGTGAGCAGTTCTACACAGACTTTGCGGGCTCGTTTGCGATGCTCTTGTCGCCAGGTTTTCGCCGTGTGTGAAGCGTTACAAGAGCGTGATCAGCTGTGCAAACTGATTGGCCGGGGGCACGGAGCTGGCAAGGTACCATGCCGTGCGGAGGGCATCGTCGGCGTTGATGATGAAAACTCGGGTAATGACGTCCACGAAGCGGTAGTCCTTCTCATCAAAGAGCACGCTCAGGGCCTTGAACGAGGCAAAGTCGCACCCGACCGACCCGCGACGTCGAGAACGACTACCACTCGGTCCACCTCGTTCTTCGACTTGCGATATATAGCCTCCTCTCCGGCGTTCCTGATTGCAGAGGTGAATTCTGCTGCCTCGCAGGGGTCAATGAGTTTCACGCTGATGTCGATTTGCATCAACTTCTTGCTCGGATTGGCTTTCCAATTGACGGCAGCCATTGATGGTAGGTGTCATTTCATTTCAGCCACAGCAAACGCTGGGGTCGGTCCAACCGGCTGGGTAGCCCATCAAGTGTGCTTCGATCCAGTCGGGTGACATCTGACCCTGCCGGAGATGTTCGGGGGTGTTCACCTCGAACCGGAGCTGCGAGGGCAGGTCGCGCGCACTTCTCACAGTCAAGGTGTTTGAAGAGCCCGTATTCCCGAAGCGAGGTGTCGACCAGGAGCGTAGTTTGTAGACGCTGATGATCTCCGTGGTGACCCGCGAGGACGGTATGACCTTTTTGAGGTCCTGAAAGAGGACGAGCCGGAGGTCGGGATTAGCAAACCGTATCGGCTCTGCTGAGCAGACTCTGTAAGCGTCTACGGTACCCCATGCGGGCCACGCAAATGCTCGCGCTGTCTCGTCGAGTACCCTGAGGCGGGAGGCGTCCGGTTCCTGAAGGCGAAGAGTGGCCGCCGTCTGGTCGGCGTCCCGAAAGCCGCTCGCGAGGATGAAGAATGCCTTTCTCACGACGTCGGGGACGACGGAGTTCCCGAGCAGGGCGCATCTGGTTGATCTGGTGGCCCACGCGGGGTCTCCTCTGAGTACCATTCGCGGAGGGGAGTCTTTGGGGTCGAAGTTGTGGTTTTGGTACTGTAAGCCGGACCAATCCTTCTTGAGGCCGGGCTTCGTCGCCAGGGCGAACCATCTGTTCCGCTTGTGGTGGGCCCCGACTGACGAGGCAGGCAGGACGATCCACCTGAGGTCGAACCCACGCAATTCGTGGAGCTGATAAGCTATCTCCGTCATACCGTGCGCTACGATGTTGGGAACGTTCTCCAGGAAGACGATTTCCGCCTTGCACTCGTCCACCACGCGCAGCATCTCGTAGAAGAGCTTGGTTCCCGGTTGTTCGAAGCCCTTGGAGAGCCCGAGCGGGCTGTATCCTACGCATGGGAACCCCCCGCAGACCATGTTCGCATCCGTTGACCCCTTAAGGTCGCAGATGTTCTCGTATATGGGGCACTCATCGAGCAGCCCTAGCTCGATGTTTGTAACGATTACGACTGGTTAAGCCTAACCTCGTTCTCGACAGGATTTCGTTGACCTGCGGGTTAGCGAAACGGCGGTGGTTACGTCTTAACGACGC